TGTACCGGTAGTTGAAAGAACAGAGGAAAATACTACTTATAGACTTCCTCTTTAAAGAGAATCCAGAGTCCAGAGTGCCGCAATGAAGACAAAGTTCATTGCTACCAGACTCAGATGCGGGTTCTCGACAGCATCAGTCAGTCGATGTCAGAATAAGAATAAGTTGCTTATGTTAAACCTCGTCAGTGCGCATCTACCATTTTAAGTGCGCATGTGGTACCACTTACTTATGTCGTACGACAACACAGTTATCTAAACTCCTCAAGGAAAACCAACCCATGTGGCTTCGATATTCAGGGAATGGGATCACCTCCACTTCATTTGTGGCATATTTGTTCGAGACTTGACACCTGGTGAACACTAATTCGGCTTTCATAATCATTTATAGGATCCTACATTACAAATACAAGGCTGTTAGAATTAGAATGGTAGCAATAGCCTAGGCAATTATCATCCGCTCGGAAAAGTCAATTATGTACCCCCCTCAAAAACACTGATCCAAGCACTCAAACTTCCCTGACCGAACACGGTCCACATCACGCATGAGTGAAAGGATCACCCGAATCAATTGCTAACAGTTACGTAACCCGTTTGTGACCGAATACGAGAACCATGGAGAGAGAGATTTGTTCCATTCACCCATTGCTTTGATATCATTAGCTGACTCCACCACTCTACCATCTCGTTATTTTCTTACATAAATGCGATTGATAGAACTCACCGAAAACATACGTTCACCCACATTCTAAGTATTCACCATGATATTAACTTTTATTACAGCAGGTTATGAAGGAAATACGTCGTCTTCTTCCTCGTTGCTTGTCCGACCTTGAAAGTGATCTGTCTGCCGTTTCAAACGAGGATTACTGTGCAATCAGACGCCAACGGAAACACACGGACTGCACATTGCCCACCACCTGGGTTCAACACATGCAGACCACACTGCTCACTCACACGATCGATCTCCTTCATACCTACTGTACAAACGCGGTTACCAGTCACGAGTGGCTCACTCGATGGAACACACATTTGGCTCGCTTTTGCATGCGACGAACAGAACAGCAGGAGGAGGAGCACTCTAGACTTGGCAGTAAATCTGTGACAACATGTGCTAATGACACTCGACAGGGCCAAATAAAGTGCAACCAAAATACGGACACTCAGTCGAATGCTAACCACGATCGACGAATGGCGATCACCATGACCGATCTTCGACCGCGTATCACTGCCCTTCGTTCTCGATTGGCGAACGTCGTTCAGGTGACCCACTTTGCATGAATTGCTTAAAAAATACCCTGATGGAACCGATGCATTGAGTTCTCTCCATCACTTGTGCACTCTAACACTCTAAAACAGTTCTTTGGAACTAGAATCTCTAATCTAACATAGTTTGCCGGGTTGGAAATGTTTCCGACCGAGCCATAACCCTTTCATGTTAGGACTAAGCGAGCGGGGGTCTTACTTCCAGCTAGGCTTCAAAGGTGAGTTCCACTATGGCATAGGCCTACTAGTGTGATTAGTTACTCAGTACATGGATAAGCAATTAGTTCACTGCCTTGTGGATCCTGTGTTTAATCTTACGGTGGTTCTTTGGATCACCATAGGACAGACAGTTTAAATCACGTCTTGGTGAGCGGACTTTACTGAAAAATATCGGGTCGTAATTCGATTAAAAACGAAACGTCTCCGGTTGATGGGCATTGGTTGTACGGCGTGAGAAACTTAACTGTACCAAATAAAAGCAGAAAACCGTGCTTTGTTCGGAATTGATGAATCAAATTTGTTCATTTCCTATCATTCAACTCCATAACCCAGAACAACTTCAAACCTGTGCTTGTTTTCCACCTCCACAGTCGAAGATTTCAACGCGAAATCGAATGTGTCAATTCCAACGCGCACTTTGTAGTCTGACAAATCAGCATCCCCGTCTACATGCCTCGGTCCTAACAGGATCAGCATTTGCGAAAGTCGCTCAAGAATATTTGTAAGTCTGGTTTCTGCATTCACTTTGTCACCTATTATTGTGTGTGTGTGTGGGGGGGGGGAGATAGATCTCAATGAAACCTACCATGTTCTATTCTTATTCCCTTATCACATGTAGCATGCACTGTGCCCAATTAGTGCACGCCTGTTTGAATACGATTGAAACCGATGCACCGCCGATTCTGGCTGAAATTCGTCAGATCCAGACATGTGAATGCAGGAGGAACAACGGGAGTTTTGACGACTGGGTAAGTTTTCTCCGCACTAACCGATACATGTATCACAAGCGCGCAAAATCTCAGTCCGATTAATTCACTTCCTGTTCGACCCCTTCCCTCTTTGTCACGTCTCACAGGACTATACATCAAACTTTGACGTGATGCAGTTGTACACTGCGTGTGTCGTGATCTGTGAGCAGCAAAATCTACTTCCGTTGGACGGACACACGCGCACTGCAATTCGTCAATTGGCGTTGGAACTAAAAATGGGCCTACACACGGTGCTTGGCATGCGACCCCATCAACCTGAAAGGTACGCATTCACTCATGATCGCATTGGTTCACGGTTGTTGACTCTGACGGGTAATGTAGCTCGTTGGGTTTGTCTTGAGATCAGGGCAAATGTGAAGGAGCGGAAGTCCAGCTGGATCGTAAACTTCTTTCAGATGAACTCAGCAATCTAGTGCACTTACAACCCAAATGCATAATTACAAGTGAACGATCCAGTCAGTGCCCAATTCGAACTAACACGCAAAACCCGTTCTCATAGACTGCATTCATGATCATGATCTGGGCGCTTATCTATGCAGAGCAGGACACAAGGATTCAATTGATGAAACTATTGTTTTATACTCGATTCCTTTTGTGCGGTCCAATGGGTGTGCATGGATTTATTTCTCCTCCTTTTAACTTGCAAGGGATAGGTTTTGCATTTCACGATTGTCAATCACGTCAGTTCAGCAGATAAATTGCATTTTAACTGGTTTTCCTGTTGATCTCCTTAAAGCACGTGGATATCCCAACATTCGATGTACTTATACGCACATTTAACTCGCAGTTACTTGTGGTTAGTAGTGCAGAATATGTTGCACATGCATCTATTTCCTCACGATAGTGATTTGGGGTGACAGGTTATACATGCCATTGGTACGTCTTAACTGATTTTAGCTCCGTGTGCTCGTACTCTATCATTACTCATATCCGTTTCTGTTCTTATTTGTTCAGTATCCGTTCCAACGGTCTCGGTGGTCCACAGGACGGCTCACTGAAACTGTTTGTTTACGATTGGATTACGGAACAACTGACTGCGGTTCAAAGCCCCATCCCCATGGACAGTGATCTCAAATCTGTTTTCAACGAACGAATCGAACATCTCAAGGTACAAATTGTAATCAGATGTGGTCCATTTTCGCGTAGTGTTTTATCGAAATGATGCAGCAGTCTCGGTGACTTCCTCGCATAAACTAATCGGTGAACTGTGCTACAATTGTTTCTAATTTTCAACTTTATTCCACACGAATATACAGCAGTAGAGCGATATTGTGGGATTGGTTTTATTCACAATTCCCAGTGAGTAGCTTCTTCAATCGGGCTTTGGTCGTACTTCTCCAAATGCACTCGTTCTCCGAATTAAACTCTAAACGGTTTCTTTGTTGTTTTTTCTTATCTTTATCTAACGTACGATAGGTAGTGAAGCTTTTATCATAAAAGAACACCGGATCGGATGGTTGAAACGATTTTAGATTTGCAGTCTAGTGGTGCGCGAACGTTTGCCACTTGTCCGAGATTGCATTTAAGCCACATTCTGGTATGAGAATCACATGAATTCGTCCAATGTGACACCATGCCAAGCCTGAAACTTTGCGGTCACCATGCCTCCAAAACTTATGGGGCTTTTTCCTTCTCCACGTTAGCAAAGTCAAAGTCTTATTATGGGAATAGCTTACAAGCTGGTGCTTCTCTTGTCCCATAGGATGTTTACACAGATGAATCGTTATACATCGAAAAAGGAGTCGCATAGAGATCCGGGTAGGAGATAGAGAATGTAGGCTACAGTGAATTTCCGTTTGCCTTTAGTGTACGAATGTGAGGTGTGCCAAGGTTTTGTCGAGTCTCTGCTTGAAAGATTCAATAGTGGGTGCACAAAC